GTTACTAAGCACAAGCCCGCCCGTGCTTACTCCACTCCCGGGGACTAAGCACAAGCCTGCCTGTGCTTACCTTGCTCCCGGAGACCCGGTCCCTCTCTGGAGGGTAACAAGGGAAAGTGTTCAGTGCAGATCAGTGAGTAAGCACAAGCCCACCCGTGCTTACCTTGCTCCCGGAGAGTGTACATATTTAGGAATGCAGATTAAAAATTTTAGTGAAGTTACTATCCAATCAAATGTTATATTAGTGATTCAAATTATTGATGTTGGAACATGAAAGCAGTTTCTTTCTTTCTCATATAAAAGTAAAAACCTGTGTGATAGCTTAGTCTCATGAAATCTGCAGGCACCCAAGCTCCTTCTAGCTTGTGGCTTCTTCAACCACATGGTCCAAGATGGCTCACCATCAAGTCCACATTCTAATTGGTAGGCCAGGAGAAAGAAGAAGAAGTAGGCATCATATCACTTTCCCTCACATCTCAGTGGTCAACATTTTGATATATAATTTAGGGAGAATGGAAAATGTCGCTTTCATTTTGGGTGACCAAACTAGGGGACAGCAAACAGCTTTTGCCACAGAGCAGCTTTCAACAATTAAAGTGTTTCACTGTGGTTCAGTATTTGACAACGTATATGGGAAAGTACTTGAAAAAAATATATTTTTTAATGTTCTGTATCGAAACATTTCTTCATTCATTAATCTTAGAATATATAATAGAAATAATTTTACTCCTAATATATCCAATTCATAGGCATTTTGTTTTGTACTTTCTAGAAACTGCAAAAAAAGCTCAGAAACTAAAGTCCTGTGAACCCAAGTCCCCCAAAATAGAAGGAAAGTCATGGTCAGGTAACTCCTCCTTTCATTTATACTTTAGAACAAAAATATTGTGAAAGTATAGTTAAATTGGCTAAGTTATAGAGTATTTGTTCATAGGTGAATTTCTCACTTGTAACTGGAAGATGAAGCATGCCAAATTTGAAGATGAGGAACAGGCAAAATTAATCTACGGTGACTCCAGATTCACAGGTACATGTCTACAATGAGACTAGAAACATAGTTGGCAGATAAATTGATGGATTTAATTTACTGTAGTTCCTCATACTAAAGACCAGACTTAGCTAAGACATAACAGAAAATCAATCCTTGCGTTATTTTGTCCCTGAGTTGATGAATTTAAATATATATTAGATGAATGTTTTTGGTGGTGAGTGGACATGTGCTGTTGATGCATGTTCTTCCATTTTTAAATTTATCATATTAGGTTTATTTATTTATTTATTTATTTATTTATTTATTTATTTATTTATTTATTTATTTGTTTATTTATTTATTTATTTATTTATGGTAGCATTCCCAAACCAAACTCACTGCTGTCAGGTTGATTCTGACACATAATGACCCTGTAGGACAGAATAGAATTGCCCCATAAGGTTTCCAAGGCTGAAATCTTTATGGAAGCAGACTACCATATCTTTCTCCTGCAGAGTGATTGGTGGGTTCAAACTGCTGACCTTTTGGTTAGCAGCTGAATGTTTAACCACTGCACTACCAGAGCTCCCTTTTTACCATTACATGGCCCTAAAACTGCTTTGAAGCTATGATCGTGCATACAAATGGAATCAGATAATCAGAATTAGAACTCAATTGAAATCATTTCAGGTATTCCTTCCTGGTAGGTCCACATCCAAAAATGGGAGACAGGTGAGAATTTGTGTTGTTTTTGAAGACTTACTAAGGAAGATCGACTCAACAAAGCAAAATAAATAAATAAATATATATATATATATATATATATATTTAGCTCTCAGATAAACCATGTATTTAACAACTGTTTCAAACGGTACTCACATTTTACTAGAATGCTATTTTATCATTTTATTTTTCATATCAATAAATAGTATAACTAGTTAGATCAAGAGTATTTTTCTCCTACTTGCAAATTTTTTATCACTTAAGACTGGTCGAAAAGCAAACTTTCTATCCTCAAAATATTCTGGTGAAAATGCATGTCATTAGTCAAGATCTTGCAGCCTGCTAATTTATATTCTTCTCCCTGATCTTTATTTCAATTTTACTTTTACCATTTTTAAAAATTGCATGGATGGTCATTTTAAGTCATGTCAAATCTAATACAGAAGGCAGAAAGTCATGAATCATTAAATAAATGAATAAATCAAGCATAAGTCATTGGGCTAGCATTTTATAAAAATGCTTCATGTTGTAACACTGAGCTTCAAGATAAATATATTTGCCAAGACTCTTGAGGTGGGAGAATTATAGAGGTAGTATTTACTAGCTTATTTAACTGGGAAGTCCAGACTGCAGCTGGGTTCAGGTGCAACTGGATCCAAGTGCTCAAACAATAGCAAGAGGACACTGTCTCTACCTCTCAGCCCAGTTCTTGTCTGTTTTACTTTCAATTTTAAGTAGTTTTCTGTGTATTGTGGCAAAGGTGGCTACGAAAGCATCTCTAAGCTTGTATCTTACTAGCTCAGCAATCCGAGTTCAGAAAGAGTGACTCTTCCCCAGTAGTTCTCCAAAAAGTTCTGGGGCTAATTCTCATTGGCCTATAGTAGAGTACATTACTGTCTTATATGAATCACATGAATCAGACTTGTATCACATGATTATTCCTTGGAGAAAAGGTTGGAGAGACTCAGTTCCATCAGAGTTATCTGAACTGACAGTAGAGGAGAGATGTTTTCCCAAAGGCAAAAGGAGGGCACTATCCTAATGAAGGGAGTGTGGATTCCCAACAAACAAAAATAGCAGATGTCCATTATAATAGATACATGCATATATCCTCCCTAAGTTTTCTTTTCTTTTCTTTTTTTTTTTTTTGGTCATGGGTATATTCCCTTTTGTCTAGACATACCTGATCATTCAGCCTGCTACCTATATATCTACACAAAGATTAATGTTTGTTATTACCGATAATGTAGTATTGTATGTGTAAAAGTGTTTATTTTTACTCTCCCTGAGTTTTGAGAAAATTTTTCATTTGACTGTTTGGTGTATGTCTCACGCTTGATAGACCTACACCCAGTTATCAGAAATATTCTGGCTTACAAGGAAGGAAAAGGCAGGACTGCCTTCAATGGAGTTTCTCTCAATCTGCTCCAGTTTGTGCAACTCCTGGAGACATTTGTTGGTGAAGATACCTCCTTGCATGTCAGTGAGAACCTCACTTCCTTTTTTAAGAAGTACTATGTTGAAACAAAAGAAGAGAAAATGAGTGCCTTAGAAAAGGTAGGTAATACTATTCATCAATGAAACAAGTGAGGTCACAATTATAAAGTAAATCTCTCAACTTCAGTTGCTCCTAATGTGGCTTTTCTTAAAAATCTTACAACCAAATTTACCACTTTCATTCAACAAGCATGGCCATTAAATATTTTATTTTATTGTCAAATACTCTAAGATCACACTCTAGAGAACTCATCCCTCTAATAATATGATTTTCTCCTCACAGACGATTTATTGTACACATTCATTCAATTACTATCTAATTGACAGAATTTACCTAGTAAGAAATCTAAAAGGTGAATAAAATCAATGTCAAATAAAGCCAATGTTAAATATTAAAAAATATTTTTTAATACAGCCATTGTTCCTTGTTTGAGCAAAGCCATTCATCATTCTCCACTACAAAACATATCCCACCGGAGGAGTTCCGGCAAGATGGCGGACTAGGCAGAAGGATTGCACAAACCCTTTTCAACAAAGAAAAGGGAAACCAATTAACACAGACACAGAAGATAATCGTGGACCCCTGAGCCTTGAAGGGAAGGATACAGAATTGGACTAAACCCCA